ATTTTGGTTTGAAAACACTGAAGGAGCCACTCTGCCCTCACCACATCGTATTTGTTGGAAGCAATGATGTTTTTCACTCTGACATTCTCAGCTCCTACAATGACACAGTAAGTCTCCGGCCCTGGGTTCTGCACCACGCTGCCACCACATTCAGCTATTCTGCTTTCCAGTTCAGACTTTGAGTATTTTCCCATTCCTGTCATAACACAAAACTCAACATCTTCAAATATATTTGAAACCTTGCTTACATTAGAAAGATCAGGAGCTTTAAATTGCTCAGCTATTCCAATTATCTTCTTCACCTTTGATACAGTTTTCCTTTTTTTCTCTTGTGGCTCATCATACTCATCTATATGAAGGTGCTTAGATGCCAGCTTCCCTTCTGCTTTGCTTCTGAGATCTTCTAACATGTCTGAAGTCATGCACTCGTACCATTCTTTGTCCTCTCTTATCTTCTCAATTCGAGGGAATCTCAAAGTACAGTCAGTTTTGTACATATCACTGTCAACAATCTCGGCTGCCTTGATCTGAACTATGACAGAGTTGCAAGGTTCAATGTACATTTCAGGTTTTTCAGTTCCACACAAAATGTTACAGGGAGGGTCCTTCCTATGGTAGGGCTTCCAGTGTTTAGCCAGTTTCAAGCCTAAGTCATACAATTCCTTCATAGTATAGCCAGAGCCAACACGACAAATAGAGTGGAAAACTGTAGGTTTTTCATTTGGAGGGGGCGTCTCTGCAATAGCGCACAGAAAATGAGACATCATTCCACCACGTGAGCCCTTTCCCCAGTAACCACCAACAATTAAAAGGTCCAGTTCATCCATCAGCCCATTGACGTATTCTGGCTTGATTTTTAACCAGCCTTCCCCACGTTTGTCAGGCTTGTAGGTGGACATGGGATCTTTCACCATAATCCCTTCCTCTCTGTTATCTATTGCTTCATTTAAAGCATCGATTACTTCTTTTCTCGTTCTGGCATTTTTTTTACGTACAACATGTATCCTGCCCGTTACTGGGGTAAATACGCTACTTAAGATTTCGTATCTTTTGCTTAGTACTTCATGACCCAACTTCTGATTGTTGACCATCAACACATCAAACACACAGAAGCATGTCTGCAGGTCAGAGTCCTCCACCATTCTTTTAATGTCAAATTTGTTTCCTTTTTGCATAAAGGTTTGCGCCTCGGGATTGTAAGCCATCATTTCACCATCAAGAATGCAATTTTGTATATTGCTCTTAAATACATTATGAATAAATGGCGTTAATGAACCATCAAGGGGGGAAGCACCGAACTGCTGTGTATAGTCAAACCCATTTCGGGAAAAATATTTATAGACATCTCCATCTTTGTGCATCTGCATACGTTCACCATCCAGCTTAGTTTCTATGTAGAATATCTGGTTATTCATTTGTTTCTCAATTTGCTGGACATCAGCAATAGCAGCAAGCATTGGTTTAAAGGCAGAAAACAACATGATAGAAACATCACTAAGTGAGACAGTGGGATCATGCAGTTGTCTGCAAACTTTTTCCAAATCAGTTGTGACGTTGTGTAATTCAACAGCATCAGGATGAAAAATGGAAAATATAGTTTGCTGACTAACACCAAGCTTTAGATCCTTTATAATCATCCGAATGAGCCATTTTTGTTCCAGTGCTGTGCTCTGGGTAATTAACTGAAGAAGACTTTTCTTTAACAGACCCTTGTTTTTAGCAGCATTATTATTAGCTATAGCATCTAGGTGTTCATTGACTTGTTCTATTGTCAGTCTGCCTTGTTTTGGGCTCCTCGGTTTTAACACAAAGTATGCAATCATTGCAAAATCTCCAGCATCTCCACGTGAGCCAGCAGGTGTTCTGTAATTCAAAAGCTTTGCAGCATCTTTTCCATCTTTTGGTAAATTAAGCAGTTCAATATACAGCTTCGCAAGCATAGTTTCTTTAATTCCATATGCCATCCTTTCTCTTTCCAACTGTGGAAGAATAAGCCGCATAGCTGGATAAAAAGAATCTGTGACATCCTTCTCTTTTTGATGAAGAGCATCGTGGAATCTTCTCCAGGAATCCAGGAAATCCTTGAAATACTTGGTTTTCTCTGGACGAGATTTACACCTCTGTATTCGCTCCAGAGTAGAACACAGATCTGCAAAAGGGACATGAGAGGCCACTGTTTTTCTAGAAGGCGGCTGCGAAGCAGGTGCAGAAGCCATCAGAGTCCGTTTTTCACTAAGAACAAAAAAAAAAAAAAAAAAAAAAAGGATGTCTTTGTAGAGAAAGGAAATGCCAGCATGTTATTCTGTCGCAAAAAAAATATTTCTAATTAGGATTTAACTGTTACCTAAGGGTCAGGTGCTTGCACCAGTTACGGGTGGACCTCAGCAGCCAGGCTGCGACACTGCTCCACCAGCACCACCCAGGCGAGAGGTCCAGCAGCCAGGAGAAGGCACCGCGCCCCCCTCCCGCTGCTGCGTGGCCGAGAGCTTTCCCTGCTCGGAGCCCGCTTCCCTCCACCACCCCCCGCCCCGGAGCACAGCCCTGACACCACCCCGCCCTCGGCCCGCTCCTCCCCCGCCTCCTGCCGACCGGCGGCCGCCGGGCGCCTCCCCGCCCCGCCTCGGGGCGGCG